TATATATATATATTATAGTTATTTGTGTGTGTGTGTGTATGTGTGTGTGATTGTGATGGAATACATGCAGGCGTATGTATCTATTCTCCAGCTCGTATTGAATACTGATATGGGCAGATATACATTAAGACACGCGCTATGCTGTATAGTATTAGGATTGTGCACCTACAATTGAAATAAATAAGAAGTAGTCTACACAAGATACACTGAATCCGTAGAGAAAGAACATATCCAACCAAATGGTTCTCACAGACCCACTTCGACCCGGTCAAACATACTTATCCTTAATTTGATGCCACACAGGACTGACGTGTGTGAATTTGTTACTGTACTTTCTGGCCATCGTATACCCGTATCCATTCCACGGTGTTACATATGCTAGTGTGGGTGCATGAAACTCCTTCATCTTGTGCAGCGGTTCTTCTCTGTCAAGTATCTCTCGCAGGCTATCAATAGTCTCCCCTTCGTACATGTCTGTAATACTTTCGCCCATACTTTGGCTCATGCTGTGTGATCCCTGACTATTCGCTGCCTGTGCCGCCCTGGCCTGGCTCTCTAAGAATATATCTTCAAGCAGGAATGGCAAAGCTATTAGGAACAGTGTACTGCATAAGGCCATACCCAGCATAGAGTACACGAACGTGATAGGTGACAGCAGGAAGGTTGTAGGCAAGTGATCTAATTCCCTGTTCGCCCTGGAATTGCCCCGTCTTAGTGAGCTGGGTTTGCCGTTCGGATTGGCAGACCCTTTCACCCGTTTGCGTGACATAGTGTCTGTGGTTTCTTGCAATGCCTTCGCGGTGTGGTGGTCAGGCCGAGAGTGTGCAATGTGCATATATCAGTGACATAGCCGTGAACGCATCCGGTTTTATATACTATGTTAATATTATAATAGTCCTACGTATAGAATGCCGGTGCAATACACTGACAAAAGATTGACCTATTTATTTTTCTATTTATTTGATGGACCGACTCGAATAAAAAGACGCAAAAAGAGTGTTCTGTGTAGTGGACAACTTGAGTCTGACAGTTGACAGTTGACACAAGAAGACCAACCGCTATAGTAAATACATAGATTTATTTATTTACATATTTTTTAAAAACAAAGTATGTAGAAGTAGTGTAGAGAGTCGTATTTTTTACTGGCACGTCTCGCTCTGCTGAGAGTGTAGCAGTGAGCAAGAGAACAGTGAGCCAATTCCAGTTTTGATTAGCTAATAGCTGACCTAATTTTGTTTGTGAATTCGTGCAAGACAAAAATGTAAAATAACTCTCATTTTTATTGGTTGATGGTTGTTGATATTGTCATCTGTTTTTGTTTTGGGTTGGTCCAAAATTGTAAATCTAAAATCTGAGAGGCTGAGAGTCCACCGGGCGGCGAGCCCTGTGCCTGTGTGCCACTGTGCATTCAGCAGGGCAGTGGGCAGCTGGCAGTGCCGGTGTGCCACAGTGGAGACTGAGACTGTGACTTGTGAGACTGTCACTAAGTGAGCGCGAGGCAGCCTGTTTTACTGGCTTAGCCCACAAAACCCTGAGATTGCCGAAGAGTCGGAGACTCGGAGGCAGCCGGTGAGTCAGAGGCCGGAGCCCCGAGCCCGGAGGGTGCACGCGGGTCGCGGGATACCATTTGATTACGGAATGTTACCGGACATTACCGGTGGAATGTATTCTGATACCAGTCTACAGCAATGTTGTGATGTCACTACTCACTAGTGTGTGGCCAGATGCCATTCGGATAATCTCTTTATTTCAAGATGGCAGTAGCATACAATCTTATTAACCAAAGCCATATTGTCGGAGAGGTGTGAATACGAAAATATTGGAATTCTTGTTCGCGGTAATATGTTCTACCTGAATAGTTCACACGAGTTAGATATACGTAAGCAAGGGAAGCTGTGTATGTGAAGTTCGGATAGTTAGACGCACACGGGTAATCGTGGACTTATGCACCGGCGTGCTATTACTAGTAGCGGTGTAGTGTAATAGCAATATTTCAACAATATTTAATACACTTCTTCATTCAGAAAATGTGCGCTGCGCCCATACGAGGCAATGCTATAGTGCAAGATCTCGAATTCGAGTCTTGGGGTTTGAACACGCGGCCGTAACACCTTGTGCAAATTAGAACCTTTGGGCATGATCTAATGACTGACTCGATAGAAAGCCCTGTGGAACAAAAGTGAGAGCAAGTGTGGTCTCGGAACCGATGCAGAGAAGAACCTTCAACGTAGCAAAGTATTGATGGAACAACCAAGCACTGTATTGCTGATTGTATAAGCGCCATATAATTGGATGCAGCAAGCTATACCGGTACGTACTATGAATGACAGGATTACAGTCTGTAGAGGCTATTGGTCACTTTGTAACTTTGGCTGTAAAATGCAGTGTTCACAATATTTGTGCGAAATGCTTAGGTCAGGCGTCGAGCACTGTTTATAGTAAAATGACCTATCACACGTCTGCACACAAATAATATTTTCAATTACCTCTGATTACTCGTTTCTACTTCGTTTGCAAAACCTCAGGCAACTTTTTGTTGTCAAGCACATGGGCATTCGTTGTTAGGCGAAGAAGATAAAACTACTTGTATTTGTAGTGATAGTAGTCGTACTCGCGGCACGACCCTCCCTTCCAACTTTATAATTATACATTATTCAATCTTATCATACAGTATACAATCTATGTAGATCTGCTCTTTTTTTTTTATAGTAAATTCGATTTCTACACAATGTGTTTCTGAAGTGTGAAATAAAAGCATCTGCGAATACAATGTTTATGTTGCAAGTTCACGTGTCAGAACTGGTCCATGCCAATATGACAAGATTTTTTTTTCAAGCCTGACCATCACGTATCGAATCTGGTGGCTGTAAATACAAATGGCGAAGCTTCGGTGGTCATAGGATCGCGGACATTATATATATATATACATATATATATATATATA